GGACTAAGTAATAGAGGTGAGTAACGAAGGAGCTAGTGCCTCTGGCCCAGGCCCCCACTCACAACCTGCACACAAGACTTGAGCAGGCTGCTACCCCTCACTGTGGGGAGAAGGCCTGTGCTCTTACTTCACAGAGCGGATGCCTGTGAGCCTGTACCTGCCCCTCCTGGGCTTCGTCAACATTTCTTTCCCCTTTGCTGATTTTATTCTACATTTTCTTCTGTAATAAGATGCATCTGCTGAGTCCTGTAACTCCTTCTAGTGAATCACTGAGCCTTGTTTATTTCCTTCAAAATGATTATTTCTGGGGCCTAGGATATGGCTCAGTGATGTAGCGTCAATCTGGGAAGCACAGGGTCTTGAGTTCACTGCTGGTACCCTCCAAAACAACAACAAGAACAACAATGAATCCCTGTAACAAAAAAAAATGTAAATCTACTAAAATTAAATGTACAGGATTTGGTTAAAAAATACAAAGCTGTAAAGAATTTTTTAAAGATTTACTAATGTCACCTTTTTCAATTTTATGAAAAAAGAAAATGCAACTTCATAACAATAAGACACTAATAGTTAATACACTGTACATCATTATCTTTAAAATACTTAGAGTATGAGACACAGACACAAGGTTTTTTCACACAAAAAAGGGACAGACATAGTAGCACAAAACTCATTGCCTTGTAAGCTGAGTTCAATCTTTTATTATTATCATTTGGGGTTGAATAACTACATAGATATTTACATGTATCTATCTACATCCATCTCTATGTCTATATGCATATCTGCATACATCCATTGGTATTTAAAAACTTTTTATTAGTATATTTCAATGCATGATGATTACATTCATTTTGGGGAATTGTAATAACACATCTTAATTCTTTTGTTTTTTCCACTCTACTCTCTTTTCTTCACTAAGATCAGATTCATTTATTTATTTTGTAAACCCTTATAAGGTTACTTATCATTCATATAGACTACCACCAAACCAATAGACCAAAAATACACAAAATACATAAGACAATTACACTAAATTAAAGTATACTTTAGACAATTATTTTTGTTGGCTTATATGGCTTTCCTTCTCTCTCTCTCTCTCTCTCTCTCTCTCTCTCTGTCTCTCTCTCTCTTTCTTCTATTATCTGTTTTTTATTATACCCCTTATATGGTGAGTTTCACACATAAGAAAAACATATGATATTTAAACTTGTGAGGGGCAGGAGCAAAGATGCCAGATAGATAACAACTGGCTACAGAAGCTCCCTGAGATAGTCAACTTAGAATTCAACATAATACAGAGTGGGGAGCCCCAAACAGAGGGAGATGAATTCTCTTGTCCCAAGAAGAAATTAAGGTGACTTGCCAACCATCCGAGGTCCCACCATGACTGGCCGACACTGTAATTTGCCAGGGTCCCGCCATGACTTGCTGAGATCCAGCTGCACCTTGCTGGGGTCCCACTGAAACTTGCCGAGCCATCCGAGGTCCCACCGCTTTGACTCACTGGAAGTGAAGTTATGTTGAGTTCGAGAGTCAGTGAGCTGAACAGAAAGCTGAGTTGGTGGGGAACCTACATCGACCTGTGGTGAGAGACAGGAGTGGAGTCATTCCATAAATAGGGGGCTCCGGTGGATGACATTCTGGGCCTGGGGAGGACTGGTAAGTACAATGGGCAGCAGTGACTTCAGTCAATTGTTTCCTTCCCAAACGGGATTGGTGGAGTGAGCTAGGCCTGGGTCACATGACCTGGCTGAGACCCAATAGGTTACCTGAGGTCAAGTCCCTGTAGCGGTGGTGCACACTAACCACACTGGCCCAGTGGGGCCTCGGAGGTTTGGCTGGTCTGGAGGGGAGGCAGCACAAAGTAATACAGTAGTGCAGGCCACAGCAGCTTGACTGATCTGGAGGGGAGGGGCCAGCATACACTGTCCCTGTCTGCAACTCACTAACACATTGCAGTGTGAAGGGTCATCTAGCCAGCGTGCTTCAGAAGAATTGTAACCAACAAAGAAAGAAACTGGGGCCTCCTGGAAGAAGCAAAAAAATGGGAAGAGGAAGCAACAACAAAGAGTCCCCAGGCCCCAACCCTGAGAACATTGACCTAGGAGAGGTAAATACAAAGTAGAATGAGAACAGCAAACATGCAATATCAGACACAGCACCAGTAGACATAAAGAGAGATATTCAGGACCTCATAGACGAGTTCAAAAGTGAAAAATTTAGCCAAGTAAAGCAAGATATAAGAAGACTAATAAAAGAGATGCTAAGTACCCCTCAAGGAGACACCGACAGAAGAAGGGAGGAACTCAAACAAAGGAGAGAAATATTTGGTGAAGAATATAAAAAATATAGAATACATGAAGCTGATTCAAAGATATCACCAGGAAATAAAAAATTCTATGGAAAGATGGCAAATCAGCTTGAAGGAAACTAAGGATACATTATCCAAACTGGAGGACAATTTTATAGTGTGGGAGTAAGAAAGGGAAAACTTTTTAAAAATAACAAAGTAACAATACAAAGGCTAGAACACCACGAGAGGATCTATAACATGAGAATAAAGAATGTGAAGGAAGAAGCAGGAGTACAAACAAAGGAACTAAAAGGGTATTCACAGAAATAATTAAGGAAAACTTCCAAAACATAGGAAAAGGAAATGATATTCAGATGTATGAGGCATACAGAACTCCAGCTACCTACAACCAAAACAGAACTACACCCAGGCATATAATAATCAAGATCCCAGAAATTCAATGTAGGAACAGAATATTAAAAGCTGTTAGAGACAAGAAACAGATAACCTACATAGGAAGGCCCATCAGAATAACAGCAGACTTCTCCACACAAACCATCAAGTCAAGAAGAGACTGGAGCGAAATATTCTAAGCCCTGAAAGAAAATAACCTCCATCCCAGATTGATATACCCTGCTAAATTGTCTCTAGAAGTTAATGGAGAAGCAAGATGCTTCCAAGACAAAGAGGAACTTGGAAATTTGCAACCACCAATCCAACTCTATAGAGAATACTGCAGGGCATTCTAGAGAGAGAAAAAACTACTAAGACTCCAGGAACATTGACAGAGAGGTCTCAATGAATGGAGCAGAAAACAGAATGAAGCAGATAAGCAGACAACTGATGGCAAAAAAATAGTATAACAGAAATGAGGCAGAGAAGATTTTATTCAATACTAATATGATTGATAGTATCAAGTCTGAGAGTTTAGGCAACTACACTGAAGATGACAAGACTCAATTATACACATTCTGGTTTGATAACTTCCGGTTTTTGAAGTTTTATACTACATACAAAGTCGTGTTTTTATTAATACTGTTGTGTACTAACATATTCAATTGTGCTATTTCTGATGATATAGCCAATTATATTGGAGATTACAAGAGACAACACAGGAACTATGGTAGAATGATTTGTATGGTCTTATATGTTTACTTCATTTCATGTGTTTATAGGAATATGTTTTGTTTTGCCTTGCTTTGTTTTGGTTCTCCCTCTAATATACAAAGGATAGAAATACATATTAATACTCATGCATGTGTAGAATCTATACACAGTTTATGAGAACTGGTCATATGACACATGATGAAGTGAACAGATACTTTAAAGAAAAAGAGACACTAAAGTACCCAGTGCTGATCCTGGAGTTTCATAATGTGAAACCCAGCAATAGGATTATTCTTTGTTCAGAGTGATATTAGCCTGCTTGGGTTTATTCAGTCTCAACATAATTGAAGATATGGATAACTGCATGTATGTTTAAGTGTATAAGATTGACAATATGCTACTAAGTTTGTGTTGGATAGTTGAACAGAACTGTTTGCAGTCTTGTTTGAATTCCCACTTCACATGTTCCAGTTTTGTTTCTTGAACAACTATTTGTAAAACAATAATATGTAAACATCAACTAGTGACTTCTTACTGTTTTTTTCCTGAATGTATGTATTATTTCTATTTTCTGTTTTGTTTAGTCTTTCTTTAAATAAAATTTAAAAAAATAAACGTGTGTTTGAAATTCAAAGTCACGAGGTCTCAGTTGGCATCACAAATTTGTGGTGCTCCTACTATCTGGTTTCACTTAGTTTTTTGAGTTGACGTTTTCTTGTTACACTTGTGTGAAATTCCTACAGTACGTTTTCAGAGTGACTGTTTTAGAGAGCAATGTAAGGGAAACAAAATACATTGTAAGCAGAGTCGTTTGGTTTGATTTAAGAAAATAAGATGAAGCATTGAGTGATGAACTGTCACTGGAAGGAGAATTCTAAAGCTGTGAAGTATATAATTAACTAAAAGACATTGTAACTTGCTCTTGACCCACATTTTAAATTGCAGAGAGCTAGGAAGCCAGGACCAGAAATCTCTAAAGATATGAAGTGTAATAGACAATAGCTTGACTTATAAATAGAACAGGAGTAATGAAAAATTAATTTAGGAGTTTCAAAATATCTGCTGTAGTGATGTTTAAGAAGTGATGCCCCACTGTTTTCCACATGTCCTTGAATTTATTTCTGTGTTCCAAGGAACTTGAAGTCAGACTTTAAGCTTATTCTGTCGTGCTATGTTTCATGGAAACTGATGTGGGAGGAGTAGTGGAAAGAAGTGAAGGGTTACTATTAGAAACCTTTTATGATATGAGGCTGCTCACTAAAGGTGAGCACCCATTTCCAAAGATTGTAGACTGAGTTTCCAGGATATACTCTAAAATGTTATTATCATTTAATACCTAGTGCTAACTTGGACACATTTTGTTCTGTGGGTAGAAATTCTCATTCTGTCTGTAAAGATGGAGGCTGCTGAAGTGGTTTTGTTTTTAGTTTGCTTTTAACCTGCTTGGCGTGACTTTCTTTACTTATGAGGCACCTAGGTTTCCTAGTGAACATGCATGCTGGTATTTCAACACTAGCTGCCCCAGATATGCATTTGGAAATTTAAATCTAAAGTGGAAATATCAGACACAAATTAGTCATTCCATCTTGTAAGTCTTGAAGAACAGCCTTAGGTTCTACCATCTGTACTCTCAGAAATGCTATCATTCTTAGCTTCTTTCTAAGACAAAATGCTTTCTGAGTCTATGAGATGCTGAATGCAGACAGAGCTGGAGCCTGGAGGCTGAGAACTGTCTATTCTTCTGCTGGGAGGATCCACCCAGTGAATGCGGCATGGTTTCGGAAGGAGTTGTAAGCTGGTGAGGATGTGTCTAGGTAGGTTTATTTTTCAGAGCTCTTTGTAATGCCTCTCTGGCAATAGTGGTTTTAACCTAATTAATACATGACCATCACAGAAGAAAATGCTTTTAGTGCAGTTTTTACTGAAAAATTGGATTAGGTTACTGTTGCTCGCAGGAGGGTAGATTGAGTGAAATAAGCTTTGGATTTTGGTTACTTTTTCATTCAATGTCATTCAGTAAACAAGATGTATGTCATACAGTACACACTGTGCTAGAGGCTGTCGGGTTCTTGTGAATATATATTTTATATTACTTTAGGGACTTAAGGGGAAATGTCCATTTCCCATAAATGAATTTTTTGAAAACTAAAAAATTTTTGAAAACTTTTAAGAGATAATGCCCTTGTGAAACAACTTGCCCTTATTTACAGTTCCTCGGTTCAGTCTTGTATTTAATCACATAGGACTTAAAATATTTCCTTACTAATCTTAATCTTCTCCTAAAATGTTTCCTACATCATATCTAAGAAATAGCTGATTCCTTACAATAAACCTTCATATAGTTAATAGTGTTCATGAAAAAAAAATCCCTCATTTGGTAACTAAGTCATTCTTCAGCCTCATTCTCCAAGCTCAGTAATCCAATTATGCTAACTGTATACTATAATTAAACTAAAGCATGCTTTAGGAGAGTTTAATCATGTTACTGAAATATCCCCCAATTAAACTAGGTGCCTGGCAAGGACAACTGTGGTTACGGGCCTTGTAAAACCTAAAGAGGTTTCATATTAGGTGCTATTCTGTGCTGTAAACTTCCATCTGGCAGAGACCTGGAGTTGGGAAACAAATTAAAACAATGCAATCACAGCCATTTGATCTCAGGCTTGACTCTTGACTGGACTCTCAAAACACATATGAATCGTGTCGTATTGATTAAAACAAATCCCCAGCAGAGGACATTCAGTGTTCAGTGTTCATAGTAATATTCTCAGAAGGAAATGAGTTTCTAGATCGAACAGGTTTAAATGGGATGCTTTCCCAGTGAAGTGCAGAACCACTTAGAAGCACTAGGCTAAGTGATCTTGTTTGTACCTCGCTCTCTGGATCTGTGCCTCCAAGTGTGGGGGAGTAGGGGTCCAATTGCTTTTCCAGCTTACTGTCACAAGGTACTTGCTATTGGCATCTCTCTGGCCATAATTTTTTCCTGCTTAAAATCTACATAATTTTTACTTTAAAAATAGTGTGTAGAATTTAACATGTTCTTTAGGTAATGTAGACAAAATATATATTCTGTCTAACTTCATATGTGTGGACCTTCTCTCTGTACTTTTTCTGACTGCTTTAAACATTAAAACAGGGAAGATGGCCAGGCATGGTGGTGCACATTTGCAATTCCAACACCAGGAGGCTGAAGCAGGAGGATTTTTGTGACTTTAATCTCAACCTGATTACACAGTGAGACTATCTCAGAAAACCAACCAAACAAACACAAAAGATAGGGAAGATGGATATTACTCATCAGTAAGCTGGTGGTTATAAACTTTCCTCTCTTTTGTATTAAATATTAAGTAGATCTGGAATATGAATCAGAAGGTATGTGACCTCTCAGTTTCTGCTCTGATGCTACTGTCCCAGTAATTTAATAGCCTTAAGATCTAGAGTAGGGTGAGTTAAGGGGGAAGCCCAAGTGGAGCATCTATGGAGGCCCCCACACTTGGTGCCCTTTGAGGAGTGATCTGAGTGCTTCTTGGCCAGGATGCCCTGTACTACTTTTACAAATTAAGAGTGGAATGGGTGGGCAGACATGTTAGAATGTGTTTGGAGTTTCTCTGCCATCCTATGCCAATCTGACTCTTTGGGCTGTGGTGGAGTATTCCTTGTGTCCAGGGTAGGGATCCAGGGCATCACCTTTCTGTGGTTAAATCACAGTCTGACCCTTCTGGGGTTGTTCCTCTTGTGACTTTTGATGATCTTGTGAACTGAATTTTGTTCCTCCCACATGCATGCTAGGACTACAATACCAGTCAGAATGTGAGTGTATTTGGAGACAGAACTTTAAAAATGGTTAGGTTGGGGCTGGAGGTTTAGCTCAGTGGCATAAGCGCCTGCCTTGGAAGCAGGCAGTCGTGAGTTCGATCCCTGGTACCTATAAGAAGGAAAAAGACAAAAAAAAAAAAAAATGGTTAGGTTAACTGAGGCCTTATGGGTGGACAGGAATGCAACATTACTGGTTTCATTAAAGTAAGAAAAGGCCAGGAATGTGTATATCCAGAGAGAAGGCCATGTGAGGACATAGTGAGAAAGTGTCCATCTCTAGCCATGAAGCAGAGAGGCCTCAGGCAAAAGCAAACCTGCCAACATCTGGAACTTTCAGACTTCAGAAGTGAGAGAGAGAGAATAGATCTGTTGTTAACCCACTTAGAATCTGGTAGTTTGTATGGCAGCCTATAAATGAATACCACTGATAGCAGTGTTATCCCAAGAAATTTCCAGTATGTAACATGAAAAATTTCACTTCCTACCCTTAACTGTAACTCCTGGAAACTAACTTAGGAACACTTAGCTTGTGTTATTGTGTTTTTATCTGTTTAACTTCAAAGAAACTATTCTTTGGTTAAGAAATCCCTTTATGAGTTAAAATTAGAATTTGAGGCCAAGCTAAGAAAGATCTCTGGAGGATCTAAGAATAGAACTGAATTTTTTTAATGGATCAGTACATTATTCTTTTAAGTTCCAGGCCAAGTACAAGTTCCCACTGTTATGACCTACAATGAAGAAAAAAGTTGATCTGATGGCATTTTTGAACGATGGATTATGGCTTTCTTTAAATTAGAAAACTGGGTACTTTCTACAATTGAGATATAGTGATTGGAACCATTTATTTGTCTTCCAACCTCTTTCACTTAATTTAGGGCAAAGCCACATCTTTTCTGTCTTAAGTCAACACATGTATGTGTATGCACACATGTAGTACTCCAAAAACAATAAAATAGTTATGAGCAGAGCAGAGGATGCTATTTCTGGGGAACAATGGCAACACCTAATAATCAGTTTGATGCTGCTAGGAGTCAGTGATATGCAAAGAAACCTGAAGCTTGTGTCTGGGCTCCTAGAATTACTGGTGCTATCAAATGGCTCCACTGTTCATATCAGTAAAAGGAGAATGTTGGGTAAATATGCACTCTGTGCTTCCTTCATGGTCCCTGGGATGGTGGTGTTTGCAAGAGGAGTATAAGAACACACGCCTTTGGTGGGTGAACTGGCCAGAACCCCAAGACTTAGGACAGCAGCTGGGCCCAAGGCACACAGGGACACACACATCTGTAGAGGGTGTAGTAATCAGTGAGATGGCAATGTGGAAGCATCTGAAGCAGGAGCAAGGACACAGCAATTGGACTTTGGAGCACTCCACTGACAGAAGACCCATCCCAGCCCCCATATCCAGAGGCCAAGATCAGCTCCACACCCAGCATGCCTCTGGGTCTAATGTGGACACTAGTCAGAACTGTAAGCACCAGAAGTACTTTACTATTTTTATTCTCCTTTGTTTTTCTGATTGACTTTCCCTTTCTTGTCTGGTGAGAGGTATTGTGTTTTGTTTTGTATTCTGTGATTAATTTTGTATTTGGGTTTTTTCCTTTTCTCTCTGTCCTCTGTCTCTCTGGTCTCTTTTTTCTTTCTTCTTTTCTCTTCTTTTTCATTTTCTTTCCTTCTTCCTTCTTATTTTCACTGTTTAGATTTTGAAACTTTCTTTTTCATTTTCTTCTATTGATCCTCTTTCTTTCTACCTAAACTACTTCTTGAATTTAAATTTTCAAGTGAGTAATCATTATCTCTACCCTTTCTAATTACTCTTCCACATTCTATTTCATTCTTTCCCTCCTGTGTTTCCTGGTTTTCCAAAGCTCAGTCAATTATCCTTCGATCTCTAGCCTTGACTTTACTCTATCTGACTTCACTCATCACTTTAGCATGTCCCCTACCCATCTTAACTCCTGTACCCATCACAGGCTAGAATCACTCCACTATGGGGCAATTATGGCATTCAAGTTCATTATACATGTTTGATTTTGTTGTATACTCTTAAAGTTGCCCTCTGTGAATGGAGGTAGCAGGTTAAAAGTTACTATAGCCTGTCAGTAGTTAAGCTGTACTTGAAACTATTGTTATTACTAACTGTATTACTTTATCCAGGATGTCATACATGTCATAATCAGCTTTTTCCCTGTATGATAACATTGTGATTGTATGAAGTCATAATCATCACCACAGCTGAGTACCAAAGTATTGAGAGCTGAGCCAAATAGTAACTTTGCATCCTTTACAAATTGGTATGATAGGTTCTCAGGATAGCTAAGATCACCTACAGCTAGAGGATATATCTAGAGCAGATATCTCCTAAGGAAGGCTCAAAATTAGTTATGAAACTGTATATCATAAGAAATCAGCTAGCACCAACGTGGAAAACAAAATCAAAAAAAGAAAATGACAAGACATAGAAGTCAAGTGAAATCCCAGATCACTAGACCACACAGCACAAGCATAGAACTCAGTGAGCTAGATGAAATTGAAAATCAAATGCTGGAAGTGAAAAAACACATGGAAAAGGCTATAGAGAAAATAATCTCTCAAATACAAGAAGAAATAATACTTGAAAATAAAAGATAATAGAAAAGACACAGATAAAAGAACAGAGAAGCTTACAAAAATTATAACAAAAAATGTCCAATATAGGAAAGAAATGGAATCCATGAAACAGATCCAAACAGAAATCCAGAAATTAAAACCTCCATTGAGAGTATATGCAACAGACTGAACAAAGGAGAGATAGAATTTCAGATCTTGAAGACAGAACAGCAGCTGGTGATCACGAAAAGAAAGATATCATAAAAATAGCGAGAAAGCCATGGGCAAGCTGCTGCCAGATTGGGGACAGCCACAACCATGCCTCTTTCTGTGAGTCAGCTTCATTCATGGCCTGCAGGGAAAGAGAGTCAGGCCTCACAAAGGAGGCGATCCCTGCCTGGAAACCATA